GATTTCTGTGGACGAGCTGGGTGGGATTTCTGTGGACGAGCTGGGTGAGACTTCAGGGTCAGCGTTGATTTTTTTGATAAAGAATGTTTCTTGTCTGGCGTAGGGGATAGAGTACTCATGATAGAATCAGGAGGACATGGGTTCAAATCCTACCTTTTAAAAAAAATCCTACCTCTTAATGACTGTCTGAACCTGGGCAAGTCACTTAATCTCTTTCAGCCTCAATTTCCTCATATACAAACTGGGGATAATAACACCTACAGTATCTACCTCATAGGCTTGTTGTAAGCCTCCAGGGCGAAATAGTAGGTAAAGAAAGGGTTTTGCAGACTTTAAATCACCCTGTACATGTCAGGAGTTAGGTTATGATTCATTAGTCTTACCGTACTTTAGACTTTCCCAAAGCATTTTCATATTCATTTTGTCATTTGATCATGATAATCCTGAGAAACATGCAGGGTAGGTGGTGGTTTTCCATTTTACAGATGAAGAATTGAGGCACAGAAAAAGAGCTTAAATGATTTAGCTGAGGTCATTCAGGCAGGGAATTGCCATAGGGGATAGGGCCCTGGGTTAAGAAGACCAGAGTTCAAATCCTGCCTCAGACATTTATTAGCAGTGTGACCCTGGGCAAGTCATTTCACCTTGTTTGCCTCAGTTTCCTTATGTAAAATGGTGATAATAACAGCACCTACCTCCCAGGACTGTTGTGAGGATGAAATGAGATGACATATCTAAACAGTAATGGAAACTCTGGTCGTCGTTGCTGTTGTGATTATCATCAAGCCTGTGACATAGGTAGGCCTAGACCTCAGTCTCTCTGCCCTTGGCCTAGTACTTTCTCTCTCTGATTCCATCCTCTTTCCCAAGGAACTTGTAAGGCTGCCGTGGGGAAAGATGGCAGCCCTCCCTAGGAGAGTCCTTGGTTCTGCTGACACCAGGGACTTTGTCTGTCTGCGGGTGTTTGGAGAGGGACCAGGGGCTTTCTGTGGCTTGGGGAAGAGATCTCTGTCTTGAGCCCTTGGAAATGGGGGCGTTGGGGCCCTCTGGACATCTTCCGCCCCTGCTATCTAATCCCTGGCCAGATCGTGTGACCCGGCTGGCATTCCCCCTGCTGGAGTCTGGCACTTTGGATAGCAGCTGCTGTGTCAGGGGAGCAGGGCACCGGCCTGACTGACCGCCCCCCCCCCCAACCTGCACTTTTCAGATTAGGAAGGAGACAGCGTGGGAGCTTGGAGTGGCAGCCCCCCAAGGCCCTTGGTTGTCATCTTGAGGCCCAGGTATGCTGGGTGGTGATTGGGAGCAGGGTGGAGAATGGGGATGAAGCGGGGGGGGCGGCAGTAGGGTATTATGGGAGGTGGTATGTGGAATGATCCCGATTTGGAACAGGGAGAATGGGGAGTTTCTAGGTGAGGAGAAGCCCTTCCACCTGCCTCTCCCTCTGCTGGACCATTCTGGTCACTCCCAACTCTGCTAGCTGTGGGGCTGGGGGAGGGCTGGGGGCTTTTTATATCTTAGAATGTGTGTCTGTGGCCAAATTTGCCCCTCCCTTGGGCAAGGCAGGACACAGGCTTTTCCGCTGACTGTGCCGGCCCTCTGCAGCTGCCTGGGAATCCGCCACCATTCGGTGCTGTGGTAACATGATGGCTCCGGAGGACGACGCGGGCGGGGAGATCCCTGGGGGCAGTTTCTGGGAGGTGAGGGGCCCTGGATGTTGGTGGCAGGCCTGGACTTTGATGGGAGGGAAGGAGGTGAGGGTCCCATGCCAGTCTGAATTCTCACCCTTTGGAGTCAGTATAGAGGACCTGGGGCAGAATCCTGTCTCTGGCCCTTTCCACTTGGGTCACCTTGGGCAAGTCAATTGACTTCCTGGGGCCTTAGTCTCCTTAATGTGAAAAGAGGGGATTGGACCAGTTGGCCACTCAGGTGCTGTCCTGCCCTTGACCTACAGTCTCTGGTTCTTTCCTCCTAAACACAGTTTCTCGGGGCTGATGTTCTTTTCAGAGGGTGCCCTTATATCAGGTTGTGGCTCGAGATGAGCTTTTGTGTCTAGTAAAAGAAACATTTCTACTTTCTCTAGGCTGGGAACTACAAACGGACAGTCCAGCGTGTGGAGGACGGCCACCGGGTCTGTGGGGACCTAGTCAGTTGTTTTCAGGAGCGAGCCCGGATTGAGAAGGCCTACGCCCAGCAGCTGGCTGACTGGGCCCGCAAGTGGAGAGGGGCTGTGGAGAAGGGTAGGCAGGGGCTCCATCTTTGTGTCTCCTCCGCCTGGTACACAGCAGGCACTTAAAAAATGCCCTGGACGAGGCGTATGGTGGGAGACCACTGGAGGAGAAGGGCCTGGGGTTGGGTCTTCCCCCAGTGCCTTCCCCTGACCCAGCATGTCCCTACCTCCCAGGCCCCCAGTATGGCACTCTGGAGAAGGCGTGGCACGCCTTCCTAACAGCAGCGGAGCGACTGAGTGCCTTGCACCTAGAGGTACGGGATAAGCTCCACGGAGAAGACAGTGACCGGATTCGAGCCTGGCAGCGGGAAGCCTTCCACCGGCCTGTCCTGGGAGGCTTCCGAGAAAGCCGGGCAGCGGAGGATGGCTTCCGAAAGGCCCAGAAGCCCTGGGTGAAGAGGCTGAAGGAGGTGAGGCCAGGGGAGGGCGTGTGGAAAAGGTTGGGTCAGGTTGGCGGAGGCTGGCGCCCTGGGAGAACTGGGGGGCACAGGTGCAGGGTGGCGTGCGGGGCCTGGAGCCTTGTGCCCACCTGCTTCAGGTGGAGGCCTCCAAGAAGAGCTACCACTCAGCGTGCAAGGAGGAGAAGACGGCACAGACTCGTGAAAGCCACGCGCGTGCTGACAACGCTGTGTCCCAGGACCAGCTGCGGAAGCTGCAAGAGCGGGTGGAGCGTTGTGGCAAGGAGGTCGAGAAGGTACCAACTGCCAGGGCTGGCCCTGGGCAGAGCGCCGGATTCGGTGATGTTCCCCCTCCCCGTGGCCATGCGTGGCCCGGCTTCTCAGGGCCAGAAGGTACCTCCCGGGTCAAGCGCCACGTGTGGCCACACTGCTAGGAGGGGGCAAAGCTGGCAGGTGAACCCAGGCCCTCTGATTCCCCCACTGCTCCTCCTCTTCCCCCCAGATGCACTCATCTCCTTCACCCTGAGGCATTTAAAGAGAATCCTGAAAGGGGAGAGGGGGCAGCAGTGATTATCCACCCAAAAAAGTGAAACGTGAATGATGTCCAGGCGCTTGGGCAAAGGAGGGATCTGGGGACGTGGGGAACCGCCCCCCCCAGCCCTCCTCAAGGGACCCAAGTGTGGGTTGGGCTGAGGAGGAGCGCCGACCCACTTCCCCTCCCCCTCTCCCCTTTCCCGGCCATTGCAGACGAAAGTCCAGTATGAGCAGACGCTGGCGGAGCTTCACCGCTACACCCCCCGTTACATGGAGGACATGGAGCAAGTGTTTGAAGGGTGCCAGACAGCAGAGCGCCAGCGCCTTCTCTTCTGCAAAGACATGCTGCTCACCTTCCACCAACATCTAGACCTCTCTAGCAATGACAGGTGCAGCTGCCTGCAGGGACCCCACCCCTATTTTATAGCTGAGGAAACTGAGGCCCAGAGAGGATAGAGGGTGTGTCTGGTGTCACGCAGGTAGTCCCTTGTGGGCCTCTGGTTCTGACTGCCTCTGTAACCTCCTTCCATCTGCTCAGGGCCTTGCATAGGTCTGAATTTCATGGAATCGATGGAGGGAGGAAAGGTGGGGAGACTGGGATCTGGGACTGGGTCTTGGCATCTTGGCTGTTCTGGGGGCAGCCTGAGGACTGTGACTTGGGCCTCCAGGTTCCAGCAGCTCCACCGGGACCTGCACCAGGGCATCATGGCTGCCAACGATGAGGAGGACCTGCGCTGGTGGCGGAGCACCCACGGGCCAGGCATGGCCATGAACTGGCCACAGTTTGAGGTGGGCGTGTTCTGGGCCTGAGTAATGACACTGCACTGGCTCTCCCCCCGCCATTCCCTCTCGGGACCATGTATTCTCTTTTATTGAGTTTACTGACGTGTAATAAAGGCCTGAGGATCATCATAATTGGGGGGAGAGCAGAGAGACAAGAGAGGACAATTGGGAAGGAGAGTGGTAGAGAGAGGCAGGGAGAGAGAAAGAGAACAGGGAAAGAGACAGAAACAGAAAGAAACAAAGAGACGGAGAGAGTGGAAGGAGAGAGGAAAGAGGGTGGGAGAGAGACAGAGACAGAGAGAGGGGAGAAGGGAGGGAGGGAGAGAGAGTGACGGAGCTAGCACTCTCCCCAGACTCCCTTCCCTTCCCTCAGTAAAATGCCTCCTTGGCCCCAGGCTTAAGAGGCCTCCCTTTGCCACCTGCAGGAGTGGTCTTTGGACACTCAGCGGACAATTAGCCGGAAGGAGAAAGGCAGCCGGAACCCAGATGAAGTGACATTGACCAGCATCGTGGCCACGCGGGATGGCTCTGTGCCCCCTCCACAGTCACCAGGAAGCCCAGGGTGAGAGGGCACAGAGCTTGGGGGGAGACTGGGGGCTGCCTGGCCTTGGGCCTTCTCTTCCATGGAGGTTTGATGGCTGGGTCGAGACATGTGGATGAAGCCGCTCTTCCTGCTACGTACTGAAAGGTGGGAGGGGGCGGATGAGGAGGCTGGGCATGTGTCCTTCCTGCCCGTGCAGACGTGGCAAAGGATGCTGGGGGCGGGGGGGGTTGGGCTTTTTAAATTTTTTTTTTAATTTTGCTAACTCCTGGGTGGGTGTGTGTGTGTGTGTGTGTGTGTGTGTGTGTGTGTGTGTGTGTGTGTGTATGTGTCAGTCAAGAGTCAATGCATCTAAGGGGACAGAAGTCTCTGGCCTCTAGGCTGTTCTCCATTTCCCTTCCTCTCTCTTTCTTTACCCACTTCCCCACTGCCATGTCTCCTGGAGGCAGAGGGGAAACCCTGGCTCAGGGAAATGGGAGCCAGTTTAATACTGGGGACAGTTTTTCTCAAGTGAAAGCGAAGGCAGCGTGGTATAGTAGTTAGAACTTGAGAGTAGTCCTGGGTTCAAATCTAGCCTCAGATACTTACTTGCTTTATGACCTTGGGCAAGTCATTTCCCTCTTTTGGGCCTCTGGCACCTTGAGGTGCTTAGATTCAGTGGCCTCTGTGGTCCCTTCCTGATCTCCAATCCTCTGATCTCTAAGTGGCTGTTTGCCCCCTGGTCTCCAGGACTCCATTCAAGGCCTTGTTTCCCTGGCCCTCCTCTGGCCCAGGTGTGGGCATGATCTGAAGCCTCCGTCCCATTCCCCTGCCCCCTTCATCACAGTAGACTCCAGGGTTTGCCTGATGTACTGCCTCTGACCCCCAGCAGGAATGGGCAGGATGAGGAGTGGTCAGACGATGAGAGTCCCCGGAAGGGTGCCATGGGGGTCCGGGTGCGGGCGCTGTATGATTACTCAGGCCAGGAAGCAGATGAGCTGAGTTTCAGAGCAGGTATGATGATGCTGTCCTGTCTCCCTTCCCTTCTCACTTCTTCGGGTCACCCCCCAGGTACCAGGGTGGAAAATGTGTTTCTGCTTTTCTGCAACTCACTGGGCTACAGGGAGAGAGATGAGGAGTTTCATGCGTTCCCCCTCGGGCCTGTGGCTTCAGGCTGTGTGCCGAGCAGACCCCCGTGCTCCCCGCTGGGCTCTGCAGGGTCCTGGGATGGAGGGGCCTGTAAGGCTTCCAGGCTGCTTGTCCTTGGTCTCTGGCTAGATCAGGCCTTCTTCACCGGGGTCTGTGACTTGTTTTTTCAAAAACACTTTGATAACTATGTCAACGGGACTGGTTTCCTTCATACTCCTGTGTATTTTATTCTATGCATTTAAAAATCATTATTTTGAGAAGGCGTCTGTAGGCCTTACCAGCCTGCCCCTGGGGTCTGTGGGACCAAAAGGGTTACGAGCCCCTCTTCTCAGAGACATTCTTCCCGTGACCCCGGGACTGGGGTGGGGTGGGGAAAGCTAGGAGGGCCAGGGGCGGCGCTGCCCAGCAATGCTGTGACTTCTCTGCAGGTGAGGAGCTGCTGAAAATGAGTGACGAGGACGAACAGGGCTGGTGCCAAGGCCAGCTACAGAGTGGGCGTGTTGGCCTTTACCCTGCCAACTACGTGGAGTGTGTGGGGGCCTGATGGCCCTCTGCCGGCCCGGGGCCGGGCTCAGCCACCCCCAGCCCGTCGCCTCCCTCCTCCATCAGTGAGCCCTGGTGGGGAGGCACAGTGTTCTTGGGACTCGGGGCAGGGGAACGGCCTGGGAAAGGGTGAGGCCATTGCAGGGAAGGGTTCCAGCCTTGGGCAGGAACCTACGGGCCGAGGGAGAGGTTCCGGGCCTCCCTCCTCCCCACAGCTCCCCAAGCCGAGATGCCCCTGTACTCGGCTTCTGTGTGCCAAGGGGGTGGGGTAGTTCTGCTCCAGTGGTCTTCCTCTCCTTTACCTATGGTTTGTTCCTAATGTGCATTAAACCTGAGAAACAGCAGTAGATGTTAGAGTCATCGCCTGGCGTCCTTCTGTCCAGTCCTAGGCCCCGTGGCACCGGAGCGTTCCTGGCCTGACCCCGAGGGCCGGGATGGCCCCCAGGCCGAGCAGGCAGGAATGGGGAGGGGAGGCGGAAGGAGTTGGGCTGGCCTTCCTGAAGGCCTTGGTGAGGGCTAGGTGGAAGGGACCCTCTGCAGCAGGGCCGTGCCTGCCGAAGCACATTAACAAAATAAATAAAACTACACCAATACAGCACAGAGAATGTTAATGGAGGGTTTTCTAGGTCAGTCTGCAGCTGCAGGGATCCCGTCTTGTTGAGTTTGATGGGACTGCTCCAATGTGCCCCCACATCCCCCTCTTTTTAGACATGAAGAATGTATGCCCCAGCTCCCCCGGGGACTAAGAGGCAGAGCCAGGAGGCAGGCCCCAATGCTTGTACCACACTGCCTCCCAAACAATGGTCCAAGCCCCGCATCGTGCACGGGCAGCCCAGCCCTCAGATCTCTGCCGGCTCTAAAACTTATTCTCTAAAACAGGCCTATTAGGCCTAGTTTATTTTAACCTAGGCCTACTAGGACAGCCCAGATCATATAGGGTGTAGGAACTGGAAGAGTCAACATTCGCACCCAGGTCACAGTGGGTACAGTAATCGCAAGAGTCAGGATTCAAACCTAGATCACATAGGGGACAGGAATTGGAAGAGTCAAGATTCGAACCCAGATTCTCTGACTATCAATTCGGTGTTCTTCCCACTTGCCCATGCTGTTTCCAAACCAGACCTTGGAGAGCTTCTAATCTAACTTTCCTCATCTTAAGGATGAGAAGATGATACTTGGGGGTTGAAAAGAGCACGGGTGGAGTCAGAGGACCTGGGTTCAGATCCACACTCTCTGTGGGACCTTGGAAGAGTCACATGACTTCTTCTGAGGCCGGTTTTCCCACCCGTGAAATGATGGGGTTGGACGAGAGCTCCCTGGAGTTCCTTCTGGCCCCAGTGCTATGACGCTGAAGGGAATCTGCCCAAAGTTACCCAGCCGATTTGTGGAAGATCTGGGACTGGAAAGCAGTCACTGCCTCCAGACTTGGGGAACAGGGCCAAGCTTGCAGTGAGCCCGGCCCTTCAGTTTCTTGGATTCATGTGGAACTGAGCCCTAGAGATCGTGGAGTCTGATCCTTCCATTTTACAGATGAGAAGACTGACGCTTAGAGCAGTGGACTGATTTGCCCAGAGTTCTTTGACTCCACATCTAGGGCTTTCCCCATTGCACCAAAGCTGCCTTTTACCAGAGGTGTGGATGAGAAAATCTCTTCTAACTCTAAATGTGAGACTCTTGGGCTGGGGGCCGGAGCTGGGGATGGAAATCTCCCCTCATGGAGAGGTTGGCTCTGCTGATGCCTGGAGAAAACCTGGCCCAAAGTCCTGGTTCTCTGGGAATCCCCTGAGGCTCTGGGGGGATGTCTGAGGAGTGACCTAATTGGAAGAAGCAGGAAATGGACCGTACGTTTTCTTTTCTGACCATGGCGCATCCCAAGAGGGCCATCACTATTCTTGTGCAGACTGGAGGATCACCTGGACAAAGTGGGAATGTCTAGCCTGGAGAAGGGAAGACCTGGGATACGAATGAGCATTTGAAGGGCTGCTATGTGAAGAGATCCTGGATTTGTAGTCAGATGACCTGGGTTCAAGACATGGCTTTGTGTGACTGGGCAGGCCCTTCAGGCCTCAGTGTCCTTATCTGTCAGTCACTCAGTAAATTTCTATTAAGGACCTGCTCTGATCCCTGACACTGTCACTGGAGATAGAAAAGAAGGGAAAGACAATCCCTGCCCTCCAGGAACTCACAATCTAATGGGGGAGACAATGAGCAAATATACGAAAAGCTCTAGACGGGATGAATAATTATAAAGAATTACAAAGGGTCTGCACTAGACTTAAGAGGGGTTGGGGAAGCTTCCAGTAGAAGATGGGAATTGTGTTGGGATACAAAGGAAGCCAGGGAGGTCAGCAGGCAGAACGGGTGGGGAGAGCAGTTCGGGCTGGGGTCCACCAGAAAGAATGCCCAGAGGCAAGACGTATTGTTGTTCTTGTATGTGAAGAACAGCCAGGAGGCCAGGGTCACCAGATCAAAGAGTATATGTTGGGGAGTAAAGTACAAGGCTAGAAAGGTGGAAGGGGGCCTGGTTATGAAGGGCTGTGAATGTCAAACAGAGCATTTCGTATTTGGTCCTACTGGAGTTGATCAAGTGGGGGGGGGAGGGGTGACGTGATCGGACCTGTGCTGTAGGAAAATCACTTTGACATCTAAATGAAGGATGAACTGGGGAGGGGAAGGGACCTGAGCTAGCATCCAGCAAAGGAGACAGAGAAGGCCCGGTCAGATAGGAAGGAGGAAAACCAGGACACAGACAGACAGACAGAGACAGACAAAAGGGAAGAGAGACAGAGAAGGGAAAACAGGGAGAGAAAGAGCCAGAGAAGGGAAGAGAGGGAGGGAGAGAGAGAAGGGAAGAGAGGGAGATAAAGGGAGGGAGAGTTAAGGGAAGGAGAAAAAGACAGAAGGGAAGAGGGAGAGAAAGAGGGAGGGAGAGAGGGAGACAGAGAGGCAGAGAGAAAGAGACAGAGAGAGCGAGCGCTGAGTGTCCTGAAACCCCAGCCAGGAGAGGGTGACTGGCCGTGCCACAGGCTTCAGAGAAGGCAAGAAGAAAAGGTCTTTGGGTTGGGCAGCTATGAGACCACTGGGAACTGTGGATCGAGCAGCTTTGGTGGAATGATGGGAATTCAAAAGCAGGATGTAAGGGGTTAGGAGGAGAGAAAAATGTAAAATTGGGGTGAGAGATGACCTCCGAGGTCCCATAGGTGGTACACAGGATCATGGATGGGAATTCCGGGTCTGGCCCTGCTCTTCTTGGCCCTAGAGGGCGGGGGAGGGAAGAGGAGGGGAAAGGAATACGCATTTATAAAGCGCCTACTGCATGCCAGGCGCTGTGCCTGTCCGCGCTCGTTCCACGAGGGGCTGCCCAGGTGTGAGGCGGGGCGTAAAGCAAAGGCTGGCAGAAACCACCTCTTCCTTCGCATTGTACCTCGGAAACAAGCAGACGCTACGAAGCAGGGCTGGGTGTGGTTTGCTGATTGTCTAGACTTCAGAACCGGTCACAGAAAACGTCAATAATGCAGACTAAACTTAAAAGCGTGTTGTGCATCCATCGTCCCCCCAGACTGTACTTAAGCGGTTAAGTTTCTCGTCGCTGGAGTAATTCAGCAGCGCTGCTCTTCTAAAAGCTGAACCCGAGGTTCCTTCCAGGCCTGGAGTCCAGGATTCCAGAAGAGCTACGGGACGGGCGCCCCTCCCGGCTCCAGGCCCCGGCGCGTGCGACTCATGGTTGATCATCACAGACAGCCGGCCTGGCTCCGCCCACCGGCCGCAGACGTCCCGCCTCCTGGGCGTGCAAATTCCTTCTTACGTCAGCTTCCCTCCGTGGTCGCGTTTTGGGACCAACCAGGACCCGTCGCCCCCCCCAACTCCCCCTCCCCCCCGCCCTAATACAGACCTCGGATTGGCCCGGGGCGGGACGCTAGTCAACTCTGCCATAGGCTGTAGGGTGGCCTCGGAGCCGGCTCGTCGCGGGTTGTTGTTTCTCTCGGGCTGTTGATTGGCTCAGAGAAAACTACGCCATCCCACCCCATTCCCTCCCTGCCGGCTGCCCATTGGGCTGGGCGTGACCCCTCCCATTGCCCCGCCTCCCTTCCCGTGGATTGGCCCTCGGTAGGACCCGTCTGTCGCGGTTGTATCTGGGAAGGAGAGAAAATGGCGGCGGAGCCGAGCAAGACCGAGATTCAGACTCTTTTCAAGAGGCTCCGCGCGGTCCCGACCAACAAGGTGCGGGCCCGGGGCCGTCGGGGCGCGCGGGGAGGGGGCAAGAGGGGAGGGGGCGCCGGCGTGGTCACCGGGGCCCTCCCCCGACGGCTCAGGCCCTGCCGGCGCCCCCGATCCCCGTCCTCGGCCCCCCTCGTCCCCGGGCCCGTTCCCTCTGCCAACCGTCCCCGGGCCTCCGGCCCGTCTCCTCTCTTTCGTCCCAGGCGTGTTTCGACTGCGGCGCCAAGAACCCGAGCTGGGCCAGCATCACCTACGGCGTCTTCCTGTGCATCGACTGCTCTGGGGTGCACCGCTCGCTGGGCGTCCACCTGAGTTTCATCAGGTGGGGCCCCCGCTCCCCCGGGCCCAGCAGCCCTCGGCCACGGAGGCTCCGAGGGGAGGGCAGAAGGGGCGGAGGTCCCCGGGCCAGGGGGGCCCCTCTGAGCCACCCTTCCCAACAAAGCCCGGCCTGAGGCCGCTTTCGGGGCGTGGGGAGGGGGCGCAGATACAGGACTCGGGCTCTGGGGAGGAGCATCCGGGCCTAACCCCGGGCCCCGTGGTCTTCGTGCAGGTCCACAGAGTTGGATTCCAACTGGAGCTGGTTCCAGCTGAGGTGCATGCAGGTCGGGGGCAATGCCAATGCGGTAAGGCTCCTCCCCCACCACCTGGTCCTCTTTGTCAGGGGGAACTGCCCTTGCTGGGCTGTGAGGGTCCCTTTCTGCCATACCTGGTCAAGGTGGCTGGGTATGTCCTACCCCCAGAATCCTGCGGGGCCGCAGTGATGGAGAATCTCTGCATGTCATCTCGGAAGGTGGGAGGAATTGAACCTCTTAGCCTACAGGAGTTTCTTTTCCTGTGAAATGCTCTCCATCATTGGAAGCTGCCCACCTGTCTGCCTTTGTCGCCAGGGTAGCTAGGGCTTAGGAGGGCACATCTACTTGGACTGGTAAGGGGGACTTTGACTTTTGGCATGATTGCCTACTCTTCTCTCCTATCACCAGACGGCTTTCTTCCGCCAGCACGGCTGTACCACTAATGATGCCAACAGCAAATATAACAGCCGTGCAGCCCAGACGTATCGGGAGAAGATTCGGCAACTGGGGAGTGCTGCCCTTGCCAAGTATGGCACTGATGTAAGTGCTGGTCTTGGGTAGAGAGCCGGAAGGTAGGGAAGAGGATGGAGAACAAAGCCCTGAGCTTCAAAGCGTGTTTATTCTCTTCCTTCTAGCTTTGGATAGATAGTATAAACAGTGCTCCTGGCCATTCCCCAGAAAAGAAAGACTCTGATTTCTTCACAGAACATACCCAGGTGAGTACTAGTACAGTTAGAGGAACATTTACCTCCTTGATGCCCACTAAGGTCTTTACTTTCCTCAGACCCAGAGCCTTTATATAGAGATTACAACAGCTCCATTTTCCTTTAATGCAGTGCTAAGCACAAGGAGAGCCTTGTGTCTCAGTAGATTGTAACTTGAGCAGTTTGCTTGTTCAGTGCTTTTGGGTGCGTTATCCTTGCCATCGCTATAGGCTCAGTGTGAAGCCTACATGATTTTACATTTTCCTGTACCGTTAAGTGATCTTAGCCCCTGGAGGGAGGTGACGTTGGGCATCCTAAGTATAGAGCTGTTTTGAAGGGGTATTTCTTATGGACTGATCTCTTACAAGGAAGAAGCTGGTTAGAAGATCTGGAAACAAACTTAGAAATTATCTAGTGCTGGGCCCAGAGGCGTCTAGCCACTGGCCTAAGGGCCTCCAGCCAGTGGGAGAGGGAAATGGGATTTGAAACCAGGTCTTCAGACCCAGTTCAGTGGTCTTTCCACCGCATCCTCCTGCTGGTTCTTGCTTGGCCCCACTCCTGTCACCATGAACAGGATGGGAAAAAGCATTGTCTCTTAGAGTCCCAACGGGAGTTCTAGTCCTAGCAAAGTCCCATGGGGTGAGTGAGTTTTACTCTCTCTAGGCCTCAGTTTCCTCCTCTGTGAAATAAGTGGATTAAACTAGAAGGCCTCCAAAGTCTTTCCCAGCTCTGACTCTATGATCTTTTCAGGGAAATGGGCTTTCTGTTCTCAGGAGCCATGAGAGTATCTGCAAAACAGGTCTTCCTGCCTCCTTCAACAAATTATAATCCTTGGCCCAGTTTTCCTCAAGAACCTTAGATCAGGGCTTTGAAACTCGGAAGGCCTTAAAAGTTATTGCCAGGCCTGGCAAAGCTTGTGTGACTAGGTCTTCCTTTCAGTCTCCGGCCTGGGATGTGCCAGCTTCTGAGCCTCAAGTCCCTGAACAGCCGCCAGCCCAGCCCGTGGAGAGCAGTGTCCCCGAACGTGAGTGCAGTGATTGTGTGTCTGTGATGCCCCTGGAACACAAAGACCCCTAATACTTTCTCAGGACCCCGCCTTTGGAAGCAGTAGAAAGGACTAGGGGTCAGCAAAGATTGAGGTTTGAGCTAAGGAAGGTCTCTGGGGGGTATTGTCCCCGTGGGTTGGCAGCTCCAGACAAGAATTCACTGGTAATATGTCTTCAAAAGTCACGAGGACCCTTTTTCTGTTTGTTTTAGTAGTAACCCCAGAAGTTTGGGACGAGTAGCAGCCCATCTTCTGCAAGGGGAGAGAAAAGAGGCTGCATGAGTGGGTTGGGTGCCTAATTGATGCCTTTGTGTCCACAGAACCTCCGCAGGGCCCCAAGGCTGACCTGCTCAGCACTTCTCCCAAAACCTCCCTGGGTGAGTGAACCACCTGATGGGCGTGGGCATGAGCATGGGCACCCAAGAGGCTTAAGACTGGGGTTCTCTTCTGTGGAATACGGAGCATCTGGGCCCTTCTGAGACCTGGCTTGAGTATGGTAGCCTATGTTGAGAGGATCTCAGAGCTAGCCCTTCCCAGCTACCCAGGATAGATAAGCACCGGATCCTCCGAGTTGTGCCCTCTTGAGGGGTGTGGGAAGTGAGGGTTGGAAAAGCATATTGAATCACAGCAGCCAGGTTTTCTGACTTCAGAGTCCCAATTCAGTCTCTTGACCACACTGCCTCTTAACCAGTTCTCCCCCATGCTGGGTAAATGTTGAGGCCAGGAGGCCCAGATGCTTGAGGTTTCCCTTGGAATCTCTGGGAATCCACAGCTCTCCTGGGCTGTTGCTTCCTTTCTTTGTGAGCCAGTCAGTTTCCGTTGCTGGAGGACGGAAGGGATTACCTTGTGTGTGGTGTTTGACAATGTGTTTTCTGCAAGCCTACCCTCTCTTTTAAGTTCTAGGGTCTCCTTAGGTTGACCTGATTTCCTTTGGTGTGGGGGCTTTCACAAGTCCCAGCTTATTCTGCTGACACTTGGTGGGCAGGAAGGCCAGGATTCTTTAAACCAAGCTGATGGCTGCGGGAATGGGATTTCCACCCAGCTATTCTCCATCCAAAGCTGGGCCCTCCAGCCTGTCGGGGTCTGTTTGGAGGCACTCTAGTGCAGGCCTCTTTCTAGCTGGGAACACTGGGGTGGACCCTGTGTTAGCCTCAACTCTGTCTCTCCTAGAGTCCATGTTTCTGTCAGCCCAAGGGTCTGTTCCTGCCAGAGGTAATGGCTCCATGGGAAGCTGTCCCTACCCCTGCATTCCAGCTTCCTGCCTTAGGGAGCTGAGGATGGTGTTGGCGCCTGGCCCAGCCTAGCTACTCTTAGCCTTTGTTCAGGGACTGTGACTGTCCTGAGGAGTGGTAGAATGAGGCAGAGATGCTGGGAGTTGGTAACCTTCACTCATCTCTTTCCCGCATGGGCTGGACTCAGTGCTGTTGTTAAGAGTGTCTGGGGGGGCAGCTTTTGCCTTTCCTCCCCAAGCTGCCATTTCCAAAAGCGGTTGCTGTGAAGTTGCATGCTGTGGTCTGAGCCCAAGCCCACTTTGCTTTTGTGTTTGATCCCGCCTTTCAAATTTCTCATGGCAGAACTGAAATCCTCGATTATTGGCAAGAAGAAGCCAGCAACAGCTAAGAAAGGGGTAGGTTCCCCAATCCCCATTGTGGGTCTGACCAGGGCACCCTGGTTGGAGGGGAAGCGGGTGGCTTCCTGCCCAGCAGGCCTCGGGTCACCTCAGACTCTCTTCTAGTTGGGTGCCAAGAAGGGGCTGGGTGCCCAGAAGGTGAGCAGCCAGAGCTTCAGCGAGATTGAGCGACAAGCCCAGGTGGCCGAGAAGCTTCGGGAGCAGCAGGCAGCGGAGGCCAAGAAGCAGGCCGAGGAGTCGGTGTGAGTGTCCCAGGGGGTGTGGTGTGGCTCTGCCTGGGTCCCTTCCCTCTGACCCCCAGAGCCGTGCGAGGGGCCTAATGACCTTCCTCCCGAGAGCCTGGGGCTGGGTGGAGGATGGTTACTGAGCTGGCCTTCCTCTCCCAGGGTCACTTCCATGCGTCTAGCCTACCAGGAGTTGCAAATTGACCGCAAGAAAGAAGAGAAGAAGCTACAGAGCCTGGAGGGGCAGAAGCGGGAGCAGGCGGAGCGACTGGGCATGGGCCTGGTGTCCCGAAGGTGGGGCTCCCTTGGGGAAGGAGGGCTGTGTGAGCAGGGCCTAGATATTAAGGGATATAAGCAGGTTAGCGGGGCTTCAGACTTGGGGCAAGAATACCACAGCACCCACTCTGCGTGCAAATCCTGGAGGGTGACCTGGAGCAGGTCCCTTCTTTGACCCCAGTTTTCCCTCATTGCCAGATGAAGGGCACTAAACTAGATCCCTAAGATTCCTTCCAGCATCGGCATGTGCCGGTGTGGGCTCGTTAGCAGTCCCTGCAGGTTTGGACCCTGGTCAGGCCTCATCGAGGTAGAGTGCCGCATTCGCCATCTGTAGGTTGGGGTCTTGGGGACATCTCAGCTTGGCGGGGAAGACGCGTCCCGGTGGCTTTCTGCACCACGAGCACTCAGGACGCTGAGGGCTGGGATGAGGAATGTGAGAGGAAGCCCGCACTGGGAGTGGCGGCATGTCCCTCGTGGGCTGATCCTGGGCTCCCTTGTTCTGGTTTTCTTCACAGCTCTGTCTCTCATTCGGTGCTATCGGAGATGCAAGTGATCGAGCAGGAAACGCCGGTGAATGCCAAGTCCTCCCGGTCCCAGCTGGACCTCTTCGATGACACGGGTAGCTTTGCTTCCGGACCCCCTAAGTAAGAGCAGCTGTAGAGGGGTGATGGGCGTTCTCCTCAGGCTCTGCCGCGGGCTCATCTGAGGGCCTTGGCTTTTGTCCCCCCAGGTATAAGGATAACCCCTTTTCTCTGGGAGATGGCTTTGCTTCCCGCTGGGACACAGATGCCTCCTGGAGTGTGGACAGGATAGAGGAGAAGGAGCCTGAGGTGACAATCTCTAGTATCCGGCCTGTTGCAGAAAGGTAGGGTGATCTCTAGATAGCTAAAGCGACTAAGGTCTGAGGACCGTGAGCCTCTTTCTCTGTTACCCATTGACGGGGAGCACTTAACTTCCTGGCCTCACCTGGCCTCAGTGGAAGGATCCAAATGGTGCAGTGCTGTTCGTGGTTCCTTGCCGGGCCTGACAAATGATCTCAGGTCCTTCCCTGATCTAGGAGGGAATCGTACTCCCTAGTGGGGCCCATATTCCTGTGCTTTCTCTAGAGAAAGGTCACAGGAAGCCTCAGGGGTGTTCCTTCTGTCTCCCCCTCAGACCCACAAACTGGAGAGAGGTCGAGAGCCGGCCCTCAGCTGTGGAATCCAACGAAGCCCGTCAGAAGTTTGCGGGAGCCAAAGCCATCTCGTCAGACATGTTCTTCGGGAGGGAAATCGATGCCGAGGTGTGTGAGCCGGTGTTGTGGGCTGTGTCTCGGCCTGGCAGCCTCAGGCTCCCCCCATTGTGATCACCTGGCCTCTCTTCCTTCCCGTTCCCACAGTACGAAGCCCGGGCTCGGTTGCAGCAGCTCTCAGGCAGTAACGCCATCAGTTCTGCAGACCTCTTCGGGGAGGCAGACGGAGCCCATGCAGCAGGTGAGAGGCAGCACAGTATCTGCCCAGCACGTGGCCAGAGCTGGGGGAGTGCTTTGCAGGTCCCTGGGTCACCCCCTTGCTTTCTTCCCACAGCGGGGGTGTCTCTGGGGAACGTGCTCCCTGCGGCAGACATTGCCCAGTTCAAACAAGGAGTGAAGTCTGTGGCTGGGAAGATGGCTGTCCTGGCTAACGGGGTGATGAATTCTCTCCAGGTGAGCTCTGGGCCAAGCCTGTCAGGCTGCTGCCTGCAAGGCCCCCTGCTTGGGGCTTGGTTCTTCTCTGCCTCCCCTAAGTCACAGGACCACTAGCTATCCCCTAGGAGCCCTCATTTACATGTGGGGAGAAGAAACGAGGGCAGACTTCATGTTCCCCTGGGTCTTGGCCCCACACCTAGGCTACCCACACTTCCTGCCAAGAAAGATGCCAAAGTGCATCCTTGCTTTTTCCCTGCATTGCTTTGGCAGCTTGAATGAAATCAGGAGGGCTTTCTCCTTGGGGTGAGACAGGGAGCTATCCAGCCTAAGGTGGCTGCCTGGGACGGGCTGAAATCAAGGGCAAGCGGCCCTAGCAGGCTGTTGCCTGTCTTGTTTTCCTTGCCCTCCTACCTTGACTCTGCCCTGGCCTACACCTGGTGTCTGATGTTCCCCCCTGAGCTGATGTTTCTCTCTCACCAGGATCGTTATGGCTCCTACTGACCCAGGGCCCATGGTGGCTCGTGGTGGTGGTGGTAGTGGTGGCAGCGGCAGCAGCAGCAAGAGAAACCTGTGTTCCCTTGAGCAGGGATGCTAGCCCAGTGGTAGTTGTGGGGGATGTGTGTGTGAGTGTGTGCGTGTGTGAGCGGTGTGCATGTGTGCGTGCGTGTTTGTGTGTGCACGCCAGCACCAGTAGGGTGGCCTTGGGAATGCTGGGTGAAGGGAATGGTCAGACACCAGCCCCCTTCTCCCTTCCTGCCTCCTCACCCCTAGCCCTTTCCTTTCAAACCCTCACCTCCTGGGTGCTAGGTCAGTGTCCCCTTCCTTCCTGCCGTCCCTCTCTCCCTCCCTTCATCACAGCTGCTACTCCCCCATGACTCGCTGTGCTGGGGCGGGGTGGGGGGGAGAATTCTCTTAGTGTCTCCCAGAGCCAGGGTGATCTTCATTCTCTTCCCTGCCTCCCCCGCCCTCAGAAAGGAAAGGTCAGAGGGTATCGAGGCCTTTTTAGTGTCCTTTTGGTCTGACTTGCTATCCTTGAGCCCAGAGGGAATATTCGGCTAGATCCCTTTTCAGTCTGGGCTCCACGGGGAGGGAGGGAGGGAGGGAGGTCGGCTTGGACAGAGGCCCAGGCTAGCGCCAGCCTCTAGGAGATGGGCTGCACCCAGGAGCGCTGGGAGAGGAGAGACTTTGCTTTGAGCTTCACCTAAGGGCTAGAAACTGGATCCCATTGTCTACAAGTGCTCAGTTTTGAGCCAGAGTGGAGGCCCCTGTGATTTCTCTCCTGCATCCCCACCCCTATTTGCACTAATCACTTCTGCCTTCACAGTGGAGGGAGGCCATGGCCCTTCCTCCTCCCTCCTTGGCTGGGGTGTGTCTGGGGCCAGGGTCAGCAATTCCTCCTGCTTCACCTCAGGGCCTGGGGTCGTGGCCAGGTGCTGTCCTATGTGCTTTGGACTCCAGGAGGTGCCACAGCATGGCCACTTCTTGGTTCCTTTCCATGGGTCTGAGCTGTGGTCCCAAAGTCTGGGGCAGGTACCGCCTGGCTCCCCCCAAGCCCTCCCCCCGCTGACTAGATGCTGCTGGGAGCAGTGAGAGAGCTGGGAAAGGGGAGCAGGCTCTCAGGCGAGCTCTGCTCTCCCCTTGCGGGCTGGGAGGCTGCGGTTCTCTACCCAGCTGGCACTTAACGGCGTGGGCTGTGCCACTGCTCTGTGATCACTGCACCTGGCCACAGAGGGCTGTGGAGCTGCTCAGCACCATGGGATACTCTCCTCTTTCCTTCCCACCTTCCCCCAAAGGGACATGACTTGCTTTATGGACTTATTTGTATTATTTGGAAAAAAGTGGTGTCAATAAAGTCCAAGCTGGGCCCAGGGCCCTGCTTTGGTCTGAGCTGAAACAGTGTCGCTGAGTCCTGTCTCTCCCCCTGCCCCCGGGATGCCACCAGTGCCTCACTCTCTGGACTCTCACCGACACAAGTAGGGCATCTGTGTAGAAGTGGAGGGCAAACTCTCCAGGGCCTCTACCTTGTCACTCCTCCGAAAGCCGAAAGCCACTGCCTGGTGGGACCTGTGCTTCTGGGAGGTTCTGTGCAGCCTCGACCTCACCACCCTGTGGCACGTAGAGGAAAGAGCCGGCATTAGTTGACTTCTCAGCGTCCCAGCAGAGTTGCGTGGATGTGGGGCTGGTGTTCTGTTGCTAGGGATGGGTGAGGGGAGGAGAGCCTCATTTTTGGAGGACACTGTAACAGACAGCTCAGGAAGCCCAGAACCACACCAGAGTGCTGGAGGTTTCCAAAAAAGGGGGCAATGTGGAGCTGTCTGATGAGACGTGTGGGTCCTCTCAGCCGTGTTCCCTTGCAGAAATTTTGGAGGAAATGAATGCTGCTGGGGTGGAGAGTGTGCTTAGCCAAGTGTTTCTTAATCTACAGACCTGTAAGGTGTCTGCAGACAGCTCGGAGGAGGTGGGGCAAAGGGAAGGATTAATAGGGCATTAATGGCAATGAAAAGGCAGCCTGGGCAGTGAGAGTCGCCTGTTCTCTGCATCAGGGCACTTGGGGGTTTGTGAACTTGATTTTTGCAAAACTAACAGCCCTAGGGGGAGGGGGACCTGCCCCAGCTTCCAGGAGGCAAGCTGGAAACGGCTGCCGTCACTCAGCTTGGTGGGCTCGGGCCACGTGGGCTGCTGGTGCTGGCCCTCGGTTCAGCCCCTGTCTCTTCCACTCTCCATGCCCCCTATTCCACTCTAAGGAAATTGGTGGCCGCCTGCTCTTTCCACATTTTTTTATGGCTGGCTAGGATTGCTGCACTAGACCGTTCCCTGAGGTGGAGGGGTACATTCTCTGAGGTCTCCCACCTCTTGTGGGAGTGCTGTAATCAGCTGTGTGACATGAGACAAGCCACAAGGTTTCTGGGTCCCAGTTTCCAGGAGGGCTATTGTGGCCACCTCCCCCCCGCCCCAAGCCCCATGGAGAAAATTGGACTGAAAGCCCATCATGGCCTTCCAGCGTCTGGTCTGGGCTCAGCAGGCCTCATCTGCCACCCTCCTGGCAGCCCCTGAAAGCCGGTGCTAAGAGCCTTCTCCCAGCCCGCCCTCCCTCCATCCCAATGGCCTCAGACTCGTCATCTACTGGACACAAGGGACTTTATTATCATTTCACATATTTCACTACATATATTAAGACAGCAAGAGTAGAGACAGCTTTTTAAAGAATGGATTTGCCATCTTTCCCGCCCCTTCTCATTCCATCACTCATGGTATTTATCGTGGAATGGGAAGCGTCAGCCCAGGATGACTCCTTGTGTTCGTTCCCTACTCTGGCTTCTAGGGCCCACCAAGGCCCAGGGCAGCCCCTCATGCAATCAGGATGACAGCACTGTCTTCCCCACGAGGTTGGGTGTGAGCTCGGGGAGTGTGCCGCCCAGGGTACTGCTCCCCATCAACAGACGGTTTCAGGTCAATCTGCTAAGCCAGGGCTTTGAAGGTTGGCAGCACCAGGCTGAGGGTGGCTTGGTTGTGGGTGCTGCTGTCCCACATCATGCATACCGGCAGAGGGCAGTATATGACAGGTGTTGAGAGGAGGTAGAGCTGGGGAGGGCTTGTCCTAAGTGCCCAGCTGCTGAGACTGGAGAGAGAGGGAAGTCGGGAGGGACCCGGGGCCTTTAGCAGTGCAAGGATGGGGGGCGGCGTTTGTGCAGGGGATGCTGGCCCCAGCGGGATGGGGTGCCGGGTCCTCCAGGGCCTGTCAGGTCTCGGACTCCTCCGTCTCTTCGGTGGAGCCGTCGCTCTCTGCATCCACTTTGCGGGGATGGTGGAGGGGTCTCCAGGGGGACCCCAGACGGGGAGAGGTCCGTGGACAGCCACTCTCTGTGCCAGAGGTGGTGGTGGTGAGGAGCCCTGGTACCTGGGCCATCCTGGAGGAGGGAAGAAGGTGCCTTCTGGCCCAGGGAAAGGGTCTGGTGCCAAGGCTTTTTGTCCCCTCCCCAGGAGGACCCAAAGGAATGGTCTCTGGGCCCCATGCCCCCAGTCGGCCTTGGATGCCCCAAAGCCTCCATGGCTGCCCACTGCCAGCGAGGTGAGGGAGAGGCGGATAGGCTGCTACAATAAGGAGAAGGATTGAGCCTCTCCCCCCAAGAAACCTCCTCCCCCCGGGCACTGACACTTACAATCTCTCCAACTCCTCATCCATGGCTGGGTCATGCATCAGGTCCCCTTTGTCAGGCAGAGCCCCTAGAAGACAGCAGTGAGGAGGGCCGCTAAGACTGGGAGGCTCACAGAGCTTTGAGGAGGGGCCCAGAGGGCCCAGCCTGGGAGCTGCTCAGGATTGGCTGTTACTTCCGGAGATCAGACTACTGGGGTTAGGGTGGGCTGCTGATCCTGGGGCACGGGCTGGGCTCCTGAGGGTGATGGTGATGCCTTAGCTTTGTCTCCCCAACCTGGGAGGAAGGGGTTCTCCAGGTATCTCCTGGAGTTATCTCCAGGTGGTCCTTGGGAGCTAGGGAGGAAGCAGGGCTCTTACTCATGGCCTCTGGAATACAGGGGAGCTCTGAAGCATGAGTGGATCTGTGGGTGCCACAGTGGGGGCTTTCCTGTAATGGCTCCATCTGAACTGGGAAGGCCCATGGGGCCTTAGGCCAAGGAAAGGACATTTGGGCAGCTGTGGCCTGGGCCTGCCCTTTATGACATTCTGAATTGGGAGCAGAAAGACTGGGAAGAGATCAGTCCCAGGGCCGGGGGGACCCCCCAGAAGGATGAGAAGGGCCAGGAGGCTCTGCTTCGAACCTCAGGCACACTGACTACTTCTCCCCAGCCCTCGGTGCCTCCCGGTCAACGTCAGAAGAGAAGGGCAGCCTCGGGGCGGCTCCTCAGGCCGGAGCTGAGCTGAAGAGGGAGGGGAGCCACAGGATGTGGTCTGGGTCCTCACCAGAGGTCAGTAATTATCCAGCTCTGTTCCAGGAAACCAGGGCGGCCAAACCTTGGCTTAGCAGGAGCGGTCAGGGCGTCCTTGGCTGGGAGGGCAGGCTGGGCCAGGCAGAGCTACTGCTCACCCACCTTGGATGCTGAGGGCATGTGGGCAGAGGAGGGGCACCCGGGGGCTCTGGAGCCACCAGCGGTAGAAGGGAAGGGTTGGCTGGAGCTTCCAGGCACCGGAGGAATTCTTAGTGACCCTGAGAGAAGAGGAACTAGTCACAGAGAGTGCTTAGGAGCCGTAGCTGGGAATCTGCACCTAGCGCTGGGAACTCAGAAGAAAAGCTCTCCGACTCCAAAGGCTCTGGTGAGCGTCTCTGGGCAGACGAGGCCCCGGAGCTTCTCGACGAGTTCCTGATCTACCCTGCTGGCCTCCTGGTGCAGCACACTGAGGCCAAGCGGGGTGAGGCCCACACTTGCTGCGCCTGTCTCACTTGGATGCCCCCCTTGAGGCCAGCCAGCTGGGCTCCCAAACCTACTTGGCCTGCACTTTGGAAGCAGCGGGGGTCAGCTTCTGGCTCCCACAGGCATACCACGGCTTGCGGCACTTTGCTGTATTGTGCTTTGTAGATAGTGCATTTTTCACCAATCGAAGGTTGTGGCAAGTCTATGGGCGCCGTTTTTCCAACAGCACACGCTCACATTGTGTCTCTGTGTCACACTTTGGTAATTCTCCCAATATTTCAAACTTTTTCATCATATCTGTCACGTGGCCTGTGATCGCTGATCTTCGATGTTACTCCTGTAATCGTCTTGTGGTGTCACAAACAGGGCCCATATAAGACGGTGAACTTAACTAACAAACGTTGTGTGTGCTCGGACTGGCCATCCCCCATCTCCCTCCCTCTCCTCGGGCCTCCCTACTTCCTGGGACACCACAGTACTGGAGAACATGACCTAGCGGCAGCGTTCCACTGTGGGTGAAATGCCATCGAACAGCAGCGCGTGCTGCAGAGAAATCCTTTGTGAAAGGGTCAGTGGATGGGGCAAACTTCAAGGTTGTCTTATCTTAAGAAACTGCTGCAGCCACCCCAACCTTCAGCAGCCATCAGCATCGAGGCAAGACCCTCCACCAGCAAGAAGACCATGACTTGCCCAAGGCTCAGGTGATGCTTAGCATCTTTTAGAAGTAAAGTATTTTTAAACTATGTACATTGTGTCTTCAGACATAATGCAGCCGCAAACTTAACAGACTTCAGTACAGTCTAAACATAACTTCTGTGTGCACTGGGAAACAAAAACGTCCATGGTCTTGCGTTATTGCCACACTTGCTTGACTGCAGTGGCCTGGAACCCAAGCCGCAGCATCTCCGAGGTATGCCTGTATTCGGGGCTGGGAGGCTCAGTCTAAAGCCATGATGCCACCTTGGGGGAAGAGCAGGGTGAGGACACTTGGGGAACAGCAGCCCCCCTCTCCAGGCCAGCGTGAAGAACGAGGTTTGGGGTTAGCATATGAGAAAGAAGAGGGGATCAAGAGAAAGGCTCCAAGAGTGAAGGTGAAGAGCTCCGAAGTCCTAAACGTCCTGAGCTGGACCGAGGGCCCTCGCCCCCAAATCCTTCTAGCAACTGTGGGACAGCTGGCAGTGGGCGTGGGGGTGGGGCCGGCAGAGGGCCAGGCCCAGGAAACCCACCTCCTGACTAGAGAACGAGAAGGAGAACTGGACCCGTCCCCCCACCCCGTTTTCTTTGCTCCCCTAGAACATGTGGATTTTTTTCTTACTGAGAAGAAAGGCCTCCCTTGCCAGACCTGAGCACTGTTTACAGATGGGATTCGTCTTTGATATAGACTCTGGAGAGCTGCTGTGCAAACAGCTCGGTCCTGCCCAGTGGTGGGCCCCTCCCCCTGCTTTGAGGGGCTGGGTGGCAAGGCTTCTGTGGGAAGGGCTGGGCACCAGGCTGTCATCAGGAGAGGCAGCTTCATGTTAGGGCAGGACTGGGGGGAGGTGGTGCTGAATGCCCAGAGCCTGGTCATGGCTCTCCTGAAGGGCCACGCCCCTGCCTCTCACTCTAGTACAAGTCGAGAACCAGACCTCCAGGGGTCTGCCTTACCCAGGGCTTGGTTGATCCCATGATGCTTGGAGAGCGCCACGAGGAAGCCATAGAAGGTCAGTCTCTGGACATTGCTCAGGACTTCTTTGACAAGAGCTGGAGGGGGGCAGCTGAAAGGGAAACAGCTGGGCTAAACCTCGAGCTGAAGAGCAGGGCAGGGGGCATCTGGCAGACACCTAAGTCTCAGCATCCCAGCAGGTACCAAAAGACAAGGCCCAAGGTACAGAGACCGGGCTTTCGTGCTCACAAGATGCTGACCATGGAGGCAGTGGACAGAGCACTGGATGCGGTGGAAGGAAGCCCCAGGCCCTAGCCCTTCTCAAACACGTCCTAGCTGTGGGACTGAGCAATTCACCGAACCTCACTGTGCCTCAGTTTCCTCATCTGTAAAATGAGGGTATTGGACGCAATGACCTCCAAGGTCTTTACGGCTCTAAATCAGTGATCTCCTGAGCTAGAATAGGAGTGAGGTGATGGCAAGGCCTCGAGGGGAAGCAGCTGCTAGCCCCACTGCTTAGGCCAGCGTGAGCAGCTCTCTGAGCCAGCCATGGCTCTGCGGAAATGGTCTCCAGGCCTGGAGCCAGCTGAGCTTGCCACGTTGTACACACACACACGCACACACGCACACACACACATGCATGTACACACAATGCACACAATGTGTACATGCATCACACACATACGTGCAACTTTAGCTTGGCCATTCTCATCAGGGGACTAGCCTTCTGGGCAGGGTGGGGGTTGTCTAAAGGGACGTGAATCTCTGCAAACAAGTCAGCTGGAATGGTGTTCCCCCAGTGCTCTAGTTTCCCTTCACTCCATAAGCCCAGAGGCCCCTGGAGGGCTCAGAGGTTGAAGCCGGGAGAGGGGGCGAGCCCCAGCAGGAGCGGGGACATCCTTCTCCCACCTTCCCAGGGGATGGCTGCTCATCCTGACACGTGTCTGTTCCAAGCCCTTGATTCTCCTCATCTAGGGAAGAGTTGGTGTCTCTTCGGGAGGGTAAATGTGCATCGCCCTGTTCTTGGGGGACCAGCAGGGCTCCCTCTGCTCACCTGTACTTGTGACGGTCACACAGGTTCTCCAGACACTGATAGAACAGTGACGCTTCCACTCCCTCCAGGGCACTGGTCTCACTCAAGGCAGGCCGCTGACGATGCTGCCCACTGGATGATGTTGGCACTATGACAGTGTTGGGGTTTTTGCCTGTCAGCAGGTCCTGATAAATGGCGGCCACACTCTCCAAGAATTCTGGGGAACCAAGGAGAAACTTGGCTCAGGCTCTCTTGTCACGGCTCTTTGACCACTGTTCTCCTCCTGGGTTCTTTGGCCCAATCCAATGTCAGTCTCAGTGCCCGATACTGCCCTGTACTCTGCTGAGGTTAAGGGTAGGATCTGATATAAAAGAGACTTCAGACAACTTGGGAAGTGAGGTGGGGTGATGGGGACAGGGCAGGATGAGCGTGCCCAGGTTCACAACCTAGGAGTCATGCTAAGCTCCTCACGCTCTCACCGACCCAAGCAGCGCCAATTGCTGTTGTTTCTACCTCTGCAGTGTCTTATCCTATGTGCTCCCTCCTCTCTTCCAATACTGCCACCCCTCTGATCCAGGCCCTCATCTCCTCACGTCTGGATTAGTGCAGTAGCTGCTGGTGGGTCTGCCTGCCTCAAATCTCCCCCCCACGGCAATCCATCCACCATTCAGCCACCGAAGTGATTTTCCTACAGTTCAGGCCAACCACATCAACCTCACTAAACCCCGGGGGCTTCCTATAGCCTTCAGGATGAAATGTCAGAATCTCCCGCTTGACTTCTAGAGCCCTTCCCAAGCTGGCTCCCTCCTATCTCTGTCCTTTTCTTACACCTTATTCCCCTTCACACACCCTCCGAGTCACCGGTTCTGGCCCTTCTGATGTTCCTCGGACGAGACGTGCCATCTCCCGACTTCGGCCATCGTCCCTGCTGCGCCCCCACGCCCGGACCTCTCTCCCTCCTCATCTCCAGCTCCAAGTTTCTCTGGCTTCCCTCCAGTCTCAGCTAAAGTCCTCCCTTTTGCCAGAAGCCCTTCCCCGTGGTCCTCGACGTTGAGCTCGTCTGCATCTTGTTTGCACGCGGCGATGTGCGCGTTGTCCCTCCCGCCAGACTCGGAGCTGCTGGACAGCAGGGCTCTTTTTGCCTTTCTCTGCACCCCCAGCACTTAGTACACAGCCAGGCACATAGGAAGTGCTTAATAAATGCTTATCGACTTTGAGTTCTGCTCCTCTTCCAAGGGCTGAAAGCTTCATAGAAGCAGCCAAAAACATGTCTTCCCATGGCTAAAAGGGCAGAGAGAGCAGCTTCACCAGTTGCCTTCCTGCTTGGGGGCTGCTCTCAAGCCAAAAGAACTCAGTGCCCACGGGCAGCCAGGACAGGCTGGGAAGGCGGGCCTGGCCTCTGGAAGATTCCGTTTTGTTTACTAACAGAGGTTCATTTGAATCAAATGTGTTTAGGGACCTGACCGGAAGTTTATTAATCCAGCTTCCACTACAGGTGGTGTGTGTGTGTGTGTGTGTGTGTGTGTGTGTGTGTGTGTGTGTTATGTTTGTGCGTGTGTGTGTTATTTTTGTGTATATGTGTGCATATATGTTTGTGTGTGTGTTATGTTTGTGCATGTATGTGTGTTATTTTTGTGTGTGTATGTGCGTGTGTATGTGTGTTATTTTTGTGTATATGTTTGTGTGTGTGTGTTATGTTTGTGCATGTATGTGTGTTGTGTGTGTGTGTGTGTGTGTGTGTGTGTGTGTGTGTGTGTATGTGCTGGGGAGGCAGGATGTAAGGGACAGACAGGAGGGAGCGATGGGCCCCAGCCTGGCCCCTCCTTGGGGCATAGACACCTGTTCCATAAGGAGGTTCAGGGGGATGTGGGACCGACCGCGTGGTCGGAGCAGGGGTCAGCGAAGGCGCAGATGCTGGTGCTGCTAAGTGGCCTGGGGGCCTTGCGGTTTCTGCTCAGCGCGCCTTGGGAGAGGAGGCTCCTGGGAGTGGACCCCCCAGAAGAGATCTTTCAATCACTGAAAGAGCTCGCAAGTCCTCTAGACCCGTGTCGGGGTAGAAAACAAGGCCAGGAGGGGGAGAGTGGAGTGGAGGCTAGGCCTCCCTGGGCCTGGCGAGGACAAAGGGAAGCAGAAATGACCTCTACTTACCAGAGTAGTAGAACTGAATCTGGAAGGCAAAGAGGAAATCCGAGAAAGACATGAGGCAGTCCATGGCGTCGTCCATAAGCACAATCCTGGGGGAGAGGGAGACCCTGTTCAGGCTCCTGGCTCCGCCCTCAGGCCCTGCCACTCCTCGGGTGACCAGATGGCAGGAGGCTCGGCCGATGTGGCCCCTAGGCCCCTCCGCCAATACCACGCAGCCCAACCCACCGCTCCTGAACAGGAATCCATAACCATGATAACAGATAACTTTACGGGCGCTTCATACAGGTCATCTCATTTGATCCTGAAAACAGCCCTGGATTTAACTGTTATTATCTCCACTTTGCCGATGAAGACACTAAAGCAGACACAAGTTAAATGACTTCCCCAAGGTCACACAGCTGAGGCACAATTCAAACTCAGGGCTTCTAGACTCAAGTCCCACACCCTATCCATTGACATCTTGAATCCAGGATCCTGTAAATTGGAATAGTAAAGATATCTATTTATCTCCTTACTATGTAACATAGCTGCCTCTACACAACCTATCTTACAAGTGGTCACTCAGATTTTGTTTGGAGACTCTTAGTGAAGGGGAACTCACTACCTGCCTGCCAAGGCATCCCATTGGCAGGAAGATTCTCCCTATATGTATCAAGACTAAATTTGGCTCTCTACAGCTTTTTTCCCAGTGTTCTTGGTTCCCACCTCTGGGCTTAAGCATCCTAAGTCTAGCCTTCCACAGGACAGCTTTTAAAATACTCGGAGACAGCTCCCATGTTCCCCTGCTTTCTTCAGGCTAAACATCCCCAGTTCCCTCAGCCAATCCTCCTACGGCATGGACTCCAGGCTCTTCACCGCCCTGCTCCCCCTCCAGTTTATCAACCTTCTTCAAACATGGCATCCACTACAACTGAGCTAACGCTCCAGTATGGTCTGACCAGGGCACAGGACGGGGGGACCTATCGTCTACCTCATTCTTCCTGCATGTGGTGGTTTTTTCTTAATGTGGCACAAGAATGAGTTTTTCTGGCTGCCATATCATACCATCACTATATCCTCCTATCTCCACATCCCCAGATCTTCTTCAGATGAACAGCAGCCATGCCACACTGCCCTCACCTTGGACTTCTGCAGCTGGTTTTCTGAATCCACATGAAAGATTCTCCATTTGTCCCTATTAAGTTTCTTCTTATTTGACTCGACCCAACCTCGTAGCCTGTCAAGGTCTTTAACTGGATCGTGACTTGGTCCTGTTAGCCATCACCCCCAGCTTTGTGTCATCTGTAAATCTGATGGGCCTTTGTCCAAGTCAGGGCCCTGGGCAGAAGTCTCTGGGGCCTCCACTGGAGGTCCCCTTCCAAGCAGACACTGACCCATTAATGACTCCCCTGTGGCCATTCTGCCAGTTCCAAATCCAGCTGGCTGCATTATCATCCTGCCCACATCCTTCCATCTTTCCCACAAAAATACCCACCCAGCTGGTAGGGTATTGGGTGAGGGGAAACATGGGGGGAAGAAGGGAGAGAGTTGGTCTCTAGCTTAGACAAGGACTCCTCTCCTCTTCATTCTGAAGAGAGGACCATTCAGCTAGGAGCAAACACAGTTCGTCAGGATGGACAAAAGAGAGAGCCCACAGGCTTCAAGGCAAGTGGCTTTAGGATGGAACATGCTAACAGGGCCCATGAGTCAACATTACACTCCCAACCTGGACTTGGTGAAGGATGGAAGGGGATGGCCAGGCCTGGTGCAGCAGAGGAACCTGGGGTTTAGAACCACTTACTATCTGCTAAATGCTATCTATTTAGGATAGATAAATATTATCGACTTAGAATTCACTTGCGATCTGTGGTGATTTAACCTTAGAGGCCTCAATTTCTTTATCTATAAGAGGAAGCAACTGTACTGGTAGAGGATGACTACCAAGTCACGGCAGGGTCACAGAAGGAGCTGAGATTATGGAGAAAAGCCCGTGGTAACAGAAGGAAGGGGCTAGGGTTTTTAGGCCTTGCTGGGGAAGAGGGAAGGGTCAGAGCAAGGTCAGAAGCCTGCCGTTCAGGGTGAATGGGAGGAGAACAGATCATGGCGCACACACTTACTCCCCACGGGAAATGACCTTTGGATTGGAAAGGACAGAACAAAAATGGCTTCTAGGGAAGGGATGGCCAAGATCTATGGGGCGATGACGAGAGCACCTCAATGCCTCAGAGAGCTCAAGTGAACTCCTGCCCAGGCTGCTGGAAGACCTGATGGCTGTGGGGGCCAGAGCCCTGTCCGGGACATCTGACAGGCAACAGGGTACCTCAAACAGAGGTAGCGCAGATGTGGGGAAGGGAAGGGAGTCTGCAGACTGCAGGCCACCACGTGCGCCTTGGGTTTTGACTTCAGGGCATATGTTTAAAGGGACAGTTAGAAAACACCTAGAAAAAGAAAGCAGCATTGGGCCAGACCAGCATGACTCCTTTTTGGATAAATTTCTTAAGGTCGGTCGGGGAACACTACAAGATACAGTTAGAGGTTAGCAAAGCATCTGACAATAAATGTCTCATGCTATTTTTACAGAAAAGGTGGAAGGATGGGGGCAGGATGATGATGCGGAATGGCCACAAAGGAGTCACTAGTGGTTCAGTGTCCGCTTGGAAGGGGGTCTCCATTGGAGGCCCAGGGCCCTGACTTGGACAAAGGCCCATCAGATTTACAGGTGACACAAAACTTGGGGTGATGGCTAACAGGACCAAGTCAAGATCCAATTCACGATCCTGACAGGCTCTAATAATAATAGCTGACATTTACACAGCGCTTACTATGTGCCAGGTACGGTGCTAAGCAATTTATACTTATTATCTCATTTGGTCCTCACAACAAACTGGGAGGCAGGCGCTATTATTGTCCCATTTACAGAGGAGGAAACTGAGGCAGACGGCGGTTAAGAGACTTGCCCAGGGTCACAAAGCTAGTGCATGTCTGAGGCCAGATGTGAACTTAGGCCTTCTTGACTCCAGGTCCAGTACTCTACCTACTGAGCCACCTAGCTGTCCCGAGGCTGGGGCCAACTACAAGGTTGGGCTAAGTCAGTAAGTCTGATAAACTGGAGGGTGGCCAGAAGAGGGGACTAGTGAGGTGAAGAGCCTTGAGTCAACACCACGTGAAGACTGGTTGAAGGAACTGGGAATGTTTAGCCTGGAGAGGGAGAGATTTAGGGGCACGTGGAGGCTGCTCCCAAGTGATTTAAGAGCTGTCACCGGGAAGGCTAGACTTGGTGGTGCTTCAGCCCTGAGGTCAGAACAAGAACAATGGGCAGAAATGGCAGAGAGGCAAACTGAGACTTGAAGCATCTAAGGGGACTCTTCCCAACACTGCGAGCTGTCTAACGAGGCAGCGCGATGCCTCAGCAGGTAGTGAGTTCCCCCTCATTGGGAGGCTCCAAGCTTGAGCTGGGTGCCACTCGTTCAACGTGCCTCCTGAAGGTTCCATAAAGAGCAGAGACCACGTCCCATACGCCCTTCCCTGCTTCTGTCCCAGCTCGGCACCTGTACTTCAGAGATGACTTTTCATTCCTCCCTGACGGCCTCTTCTAGGTCTCTTCCAGCTCTGAGGCTCAATCAGTGACTGATCGTGTGATTCTCCAGTTCGAGGCCAGCTCCCAAGCCTGCAAAAACTCAAGCTTTACCGGAAGCCTCCTCTTCAGTCAAAGAAAGTCGAGCCATTCCCTCTCTGCACCCCCATTGCTACCCCCCAGAATCTTTGGATTGGAACTGAGTTGGTGCTAGAACCTCCTGCCCCCTCCTGCCTCTTCCCCATGCTACTGCACACCTCATTAAGCCGGTTCTCAAAGCCGTTGCTCCCCACACTTCCCTCGCTCCCTTGGGCTGAGCTCCCTCAGTGCAGTCTAACATTGGTTTCCCATTTTTTATTCCCTTCCTTCTCTAGTCTTTTCTCTGTGCCCCACTTGGGGCATAAGCCTCATGCAGAAAAAAAAAAACCATCCCCTGGGTGCTAACAAGAGGGATCCTCCAGAGACTCCCCCCAGGGCCCAGAGAGCACTAGCGAGCAGCCCTCAGCACTGGAGACGGAGCTCGGTGCTCTTTCCAAATCTGGTATCTCTCCCCGACGCTGGGTCCCTGAACACCAGCATCTGGCTTCTTGGCTGCTGTCCCTATCTGTCTTAGTTGCTAGCCCCAATACCCAGGACTATCATTTCTCATACGTTTCCTCAAAGGAAAAAGCTGACTTTATAATACAGAATCCACCAGATTCCAATCCTACCTCTGATCCTTACTGCCTGTGTTACCCTGGGCAAGTCACTTCCCCTCCTTGGGTCTCAGCTTCCTCATCTCCAAAATAAGGGCTTTGGCCCAGATGACCTCTCAAGTCCCTTCCAAGGTCTAGATCCTTGAATCTGAGGAGATCACTGCAGGGGGGCCTTATATTTCCAAGGCAGGAAAATCAGGCGGCCAGGGTATGGAGGCGACACTGTCCAATAATGCCACAGGGGGGAGCCATTGAGCCCTGTTCCCCTCCATTGGGTACTGTAGAGAGGACATCACTTTTCCACATTGGGAAAGGAAGAAAACGCTGGGGCTGATACCAGTAAGGGATTGTTGTTGTTGCTGTTGTTGTCTGTTTGTGCCTGTCTTTGTAACTGCAGCACTTAACATAGTCCCTGGTGGTTAGCAAGTGCTTAATAAATGCTCAGTGACCCAACCTGACAGATGGGCTAACCATCACTTCTGTCCAGCTCTAAACAGGGAGAACATGGCCAGGGAGTAAGAGAAAGAACAGGGGAAACGGACCAGCTTCTGATCCGTGGGGAGGGGTGCAGAGGGGGAGTGGGGTTCAGCAAAGCCGCCTCCCAAGCGCTGGCGCCGCTCACAGGCTGGCTCAGGGGGAGGAACCACCAAGCCTGCGTCAGCCAACACCTCCAGGCCGGACGGTGGAGCCAGCTTTGGGGCTTCTGGTGCCCTCTCTCCCGTCCTGCTCGGGTTCTCTGATCGCACGGAGCACCAGCGCTGGCCGGCATTCATCGCTGTCGGGAGGAACGCTGGGCTGAGCGGATCTCTGGGCAAACAGAATGCTTCTTGGATTAAAAAGC